ATATGATTAGTTTTCCTGTTCAATCATATCATATACTTGTTAGATAGATTATGAAAATTCTTCCTTAATTTTCTTCATAATTTATTCGGTTTAAGAGATCAAGGTTTTAAAGGCCATTCTCTATTTGGTTAATTCTGATGTACCATCAAGCTTGGGGTCTGTTAATTTCTTGATAGCCATTTCTTGAAATATTTTTATGGGAACAGTATGTTTAAAATCTACTCCATGTACATATTGGCATTCAACACAAAGTTTCCTTTAGAATTCGCACTTATGAGGAGCTTTGCATATCAACAAAATTGGATTTCTAATATGATAAATGCAATTCATTATTTTTAATATTGAATTTCTATTACTCTAACTTGAAGTGATATACTGCAAAATCGATAAAAATATCTTATGCATTTTTTTTAAATCGAGGTTCAGAATTTGTGTTGATTTGGAATTTATTATTATTAAGGTAAAATAAGCTATTAAGAATTCATTTCAACATACGCATTGCTTTCTTCTTAAATAATATGGAATAATTAATTTTTATATGAATAATATAATTTATACTAAATTTGAGTTATATAATTGTTGAATTCATTTTCTTGTAACCCTTATTTTTTAGCATTAATAATTGTAATTTTTCAGCTGTCATCTAAGAAATAGTCTTAATACTCCATGTATATCATTGTAATTATGATTATTGGATTTATAGTTGCAATAAAAATATTTATTCTTATAGTTCTTAATGTTGAACTTAAACTTTAATATTATTTTAAAATTTGGGTAAATAATATAATTAGGATTTTATTTTCAAAGGTTATAACTGAAAAGAAATTAATACTCCCCCTTTGCTACAGCTTAAGATTAAGATGGAAGATAGTTCATTTTTGTTTCCACCTTTTTTTCAAACCATAAAAATAATAGAAGAATGAAGTCTTCACCATTCGTCTTAGAATTGCACCCTCTATTAATTGCTGTGTAATATGTATCTGTTTTAATATTTTTGATTTTTTATAAAAATTTAAAGTTGTTGAATATTCGTTCTTATTAAGGATATAGTTAAAGCAGAGCAAGTGATTTCGAGTTCTTAGGTTATTTAGCAATATTTTTTTCAAAGATTCTCTACCTTGAATGAAGGTTGAAGCCTAAACCAAAGAGGAGCAGTTTTATTTGATAAGTTAAAATAAAATGGTAGAAACTCCAATATCTTTGTGGTATCGATTGTAAGTAAGTTAATTTTAGTTATTGATTACCTTGTGAGTTTGAGGAGTATTTCAATTACATTAATAATGTCTCTCATGATACTGAAGCTTTTTATAATTATTTAAGAAAGTTGTTGAAAGGATTAATACATTGAATGTAATATAATGATAATCTTTTTGATTGTCAAGAAATAATTAAGAAGGAGGAAGAAAGTAAAAAAAGTTCGAATAAAAAGATAAAATTAGATGCTTAAACTTAATAACTCAAACCTATTGAACCTGAGGATGAACAAGATAGTCCTAAAGTAGCTATGATGTAATCTAAGGATTCTAAGAAAAGCTCATCAAATTTTCTTAAAAGAAGTTTCACTGATCAATTTAATTTCTAAGAAAAATAAAGTATTAATAAAAGAAATAATCTCGAACTCTTAATTTCATAAAATGAATTGCTTAATCTTAGATTAAAGTAGAAATTATTATCAAATAATAATAATAATAACACTTAAGAAGAACCTGAAAACTTTGGCTTCGGTATTATGAATGAATATTATCCATATCCTACAATGCAGTAATAAATGGATTAGCTGATTACAATTATTACTAAATTTATTATTAATTAATGAAAAAATCTCCTCAACTTAAACTTTAGATTATTAAAATGCGTCCTATAGTATGTAATACTGAATTAGCTTTCATTATTCCAACTAATAAAGAAAAAAAAGTCTCCATGAGTATCGCAGTTAAAATTTAAATTAGAACGTAAAATGAAAACTAGCGACGAATAAATTAAAAATGCACGCTCAAGATATTAAGAACTATTTTATTAATAGGAAGCCAACTTAGAATATTTGTATGATTAATTAACAGAAAGAATAGAAAAATATACTCTTCAAAAATAAAAACAATTAGCAAGCAAAGCAAAATATGCATGTGATTACAATTTTAGATGGAAATAAAGACTCTAAGAACAAAAATGGTTAGATATTTATATGAGTAGGTTTGTCAGCTGAAAGAGAATTTTATTTTTAAGAAATGCATTTTTAAGAGTTCCAGAAAAGAAATTCAAGAAGTAAAAGCTTAGCTTTACCAAAGATAGAAATAATAAAAAAGACAGAACCATGTCCTATCATTAAAAAAAAAGAAGAATAATCTTTTGATAAATAGAGAAAAATAATATATTGTTCCTACCAAAGAGATTTAAAATAAGTATACTTTATTATTATTATTATTAGATGAAAAGATCTTTTGAAATATCATAAAAATTAGATTAAGATGATCATCGAATAATGAAATAAAAAACCTTAGACATAAAACCAAAATAAAAAGTAACCCAAAAACATGATGACAATACATTTCTAACATATGTTTGATATCTAAATTGTATTATTCATTTATTAAAATAAAAAAAAAGATCTTCACTTTTAAATTTTTATCCTTTTCCTTCTTTATCAAAATGAGAATAAATCCTATTTATTATATTAATTAAATACAAAATTTAATCTAATTTAATATCTTCCCGTATTCCAACTTTTAATCCATCTACATAAGATCCACAACTTATTACTTCACGACTATTATAAATTTCAATATATTACTCTAATGGATAATACGAATGAAGTTCTCTCCATTTTCCAATTTTTTGCCCTTTTTCATTAAATGATCCACAACCACTTTTTATAGAATACAAAGAATTACATTAATTAATTAGTTCTCCTTTTAAGTTACTATTTGCCAATATTTAGTTTTAACTCCATTTTGATATTCTCCTTTCATCATTAATTGACCCCTATTTAAATCTTTGGCTTACATTAATGAATATCTTGGATGCAACTCTTTCCAAAGTCCAAATTTCTATCCATATTCATCATATAACCCATTACCACTTTAATGTTATTAATAATAAATTACATTATTTAGTTTTCTTATATAATTTTCCATAATCCGTATCTTTTACCTTTTTTATAGTTTCCTTCAAATTTTATTTGACTTAATATATAAAAATTATTACTTTTCATCATAACATTCAAGAAAATCTATCCAATAATCTTATTTTTATCCGATTTGATTATACATGCATTAACTTAAATAATTAATATTTCAATTAAAATTACAATAATTAATTCTCTAATTTAAATTTCCATTATAATATTCTAACTCCATTTTTATAAAATCCAAACGATAGCATTTCCCTCAAATTTAATTATAATTATACCAAAAAGCATCAATGATCTCTACATCTATCCAATCACCTTACTTTAAACCACTTTTATCATATTTTCCTCCTCCACTATTATTTATTATTTAAAATTAACATTCTTGAATTATCAATATGAATTTTCCATTAACCGACTTTAATATCTTATGAATAAGCGCCTACTTAGAATATAAGGTTACTAAATTAATTATAAAATTTATTGTGAACTAGGATTTTCAATTGGTTCACTCCAAATTCCATTTTTTTTGAATTCATTAGAATATACCCCTCCACCACTAATAATTTAATTCTATCATGTACAAAATAAATGTATTAGCTAATATTTTCCATTTCTTTATTCTCATTCCATTTTTATATGATCCTTAGTATTTAAGTTTGCAACTTTTTTTGGAATTTATTTTCTTACCGATTTGAATAATTTTTATCCACTTCTGGCCAGAATTTATCTTTATACCCATTCTCATTATATTCTCCATAACCACTAATTGCAAATATCAATTTACATTGTTTTATTATCTAAGGTCCATTTCCAATAATTAACTCTCCTACCTTTTTTGTAATTTCCTTTATAGAATAAGAGAAAACTAATATTTATCATATTTATTCTCCTAGGTTGTTTTATTTTATACTTCTATCCACATTCCTTATTTTTATCCTTTTTCATTATACTATCCTCCTCCTTCACTTATATTAATTTACTTAATACATAATTTATTCTTTAAGTAATGTATTCCATATTCCTACTTTGATATTCTCTCTATATTCTCCTGAAAATGTTATAAGACTTATCATTTAAACTTTTAATTTTACTTTTTTTCATAATTCTTATCAGGTTCTATCCATATTCCAACATTTTGACCACTATAATTATAATTTCCCCCAAACCTGATAATTATAATGACTATTTACATTGACTCTCCATTTATAATATAATCCCACTTACCAATTCTAACTCCACCTATTTTACAACCTCTAAAGAAAACATTAGTGAAATTAGCACACTTTTCTACTTCTTTTAGATTTTGCATATCAGATCAATTATCTTTGGTAAATATAACAAAATTTTTATTGCATTTAAAATTTACATGTTATTACCTTTAAAATGTAATTAGATTTTATTCAGTTTTTTTTTATCTCTCAATATAATTAAAAGTATAAATATAAATAGACAATGAATAGTATTACTAACTATTTAGAATAATTCAGAAAAGGCATTAGCTAAAACTGATTAGTATTGAATATTAATAAAAATTAAATACTTAACTTTTAGAATAATAGAAATAAATTTATAAGTATATAGTTCTAGTCTATTCAATATATTATTATTTATAGTCAAATTACATTCATGATTTAAATAAAGGATTTTTGGAAATTTTATTCTCAAGCAAATTGATAAATTCATTAAGATTAATCTAATTATATATTATATATTTTACCATTCCATCATTATCAGTATCACATTGATCTAAAATTTCCTACCACATTTCTTCATCTATTTCTTCATCAAATAATTCATTAAGTTCTTGTTTAGTAATCAATCCATTGCCATCCAAATCAAACAATTTAAATGATTACTCTATTCTCTATCTACTTAAAATCATAATTTTAGTAGACAAGTTGAATAGTTTTTAAATGTAAATAATGAAACACTTATTAGCACTATGTGAACTCAATAATCCATCTTATAGTAAACTCATTCAAAACAAAAATAATTGTTTTCCAAAACAATTTATTGTGAAAACTGTTCTAAATTTTTGATAAAATATATTTAACAATTTATGTAGATGTTTTAAATAAGAATTTTTAAAAGTTAGCTAATTTTCAAAATTACAGAAAAATATATTTTAAATATAAAATAATTTATTCTGATTTTTTATTCTATTAAATATATTGTAAGATAATTTTATAGAAATTCTTAAGCGGATTTTTGAAAAAATTCAAATTAAGATTGTTCTATTAAATTGTGTGGGATAGAAAAACAGAATAATAAATAGTCAAATTAGATGGTCAAAATGACAATATTAGATCAGTCTGTACCTCTCCTGATGGAAATACATTAGCCTATGGTAGTGATGATAACTCTATCCGTTTATGGGATGCTGAAACACGATAATAAAAAGCCAATTTAGATGGTCATAATAATTATGTTTACTAAGTCTATTTCTCTCCTGATGGAGATAAATTAATTTCATAAAGTAATGATTAATTAATAAGGATATGGGATGTAAAGATAGGATAAGAATTTTAACACAATTGAAATAGTTATCAGAAAGTTTTTGGATAATTTACTAGACAACAATTTATAAAGAATCCCCCTTTAGGTATTCACTTATCTTATTTTTTAGCTGCTTTTGTAACTATTCTGATAATATCAAAATTACTTATGACTTAATTGCATGGTGCTATCATATACTAAGGCTAATTTATGACTATTTGGGGTGAAAATTTAATATCATTTTTTGAATAAAAAGGAGGTGTTATTTTGTGAAACTAAATAGAATTTTAATAATTGGGTAGTTGATAGTTATTCAGAATATTATAAATATCATTAATTTACCTATTTTTTATGATACATTCTTCATTTTCATAACTTTATAGTTTATAAATAAAGCATTTCGATTACTGAATTTTTTCATTTCATTTTATTTTCTTCTGTTATAATTCAAATCAATAACAATTTTGCAATTCTAACTGCCTTTTTTAATAGGGTTTACCGAAAATAAACATAAATAAGCAGTTTTATTCAAAATCTAAAATTCTATTCATTGCCTCTATATAATTGAAATTTAACATAAAAATAGTTTGAAACTCCTCTTTGCTGTATTCCTAACAGGTTCTCATTTTTACACAAGATGTTCAATGAACATTAGCCATTACTTATCAAATAACAGTAATCAAAAGTTAATCCTTATGATTGGATTAAAGTACTATTTGCAGATGATAATAGATATTCATACGCAGATACTCAAATGTCTTCAAAAACTTTTAAAAACAATAAGAAATTTTTGAAATTAAACTATCCCAAAAGCTGTGTTTTAACAAGGATCAAATTTATTAAAACATAATCTTTACAGTACATTCATTATAGAAAATTTTAGATGTATCAGCTGAACAAGGTGGCTTAGCATTTTCAGAGTTTATATTTCTTTACAATAATTTTTACTTAAATTGCGTTCTCCATCAACAATCAATAAACCTGTAATTAATCCAAATAAATTTTTTCTAATCTTTAGACAAGACACTTTGATTTTCTATGATTTTATAACTTATTAGAATAAATCATGGGAATACATTTAGAGAGTGATATTGTAACATTAATTGGGTCTACAATAACTTGATTCTACATCCCAATAACAATTTGATCATTTTCTATACATTATAAAAACTATTTCAATCACATAATAATTTGTCTACTACACTTCATTCCAATTAAAAGCTCCAAATCCTAATCCAAAACATAATTTTGTTCTTTCTGCACACTTATTTGTAGAAGGATCAAAAATAAATTTTAATCAATAATCAAGTTAAGTAAGCTGTAACAAGAAATAAAGATGGGTATTTCATATGTTATC